TCAATCTTGCAGATGTTCAGGATTTTTCGTTACTTAAAAAAGGTGACCAAACTCACGAATACGGTGGCAATCCATGCTCCACCAACACGACCGTCTAGATCATCGTCGTAACAGACTGGTCGCGGTGCACATATCGTAGGGTCTACCTTCTGGAGAAAACGGAGCGTCGAGATCTGTAGTAAGAACCAGTTAGCTTAATCGTCAATTACGGACAGGAAGGCTTCACCTCGGAATATAATCCACCGGCACACGACACTCCCTCAAGGCCGTCCGCCGTATATGGCCAGTATACGCGGACCAAAACCTTGTCGTGTTCTTCCATAATAACAGTAAAGAGCTAGTGGAATGTGTGAATATCTGCGTTATGGGATTTCGAAGCACTATACCCTGTAATTACGCGCTGTAACTGAAGTATTAGCTTCGATCATGACTGATCCTGACATCAAGGCTCACATTGACCAGCAATCTCCGGATGACTGCAATCATGACCAGTTTTCTTCTTCAATCGCGCTTTGAGAACCGTCAAGTCGATTGACTTCTGTGAAGTGGCAGTAGTCATAGCTGTAGCAATCCCGAAAAGCATATGAATAACGAAGAAAACAACGAAGGTGCCACCAGGACAAGGGAAAAGAGGGAAAACATGCACAAGAGAACAAGTCATGTTATTAAATATATCTCAAGTCCTGCATAGCCATGGATGTAGCACAAAGGCGAAGGTGGCAGACAAAGCAGTGGCGAAGCTGAAAAGGGTATAGGGCTACCTCGTGCTTGATGCTGCATTTGACAGGGTCGACACCCGGATCAAACGCTCTTTTGCGGGTTTCAGGGCCAAGACAAGAAATTGAGAATTTCTCGCTAGGAAAAACAGAACGATAGTCCCAGAACACTGCATCTTGCGAATTGCGACTGCGAAGAATCGCCCTACGCGACCACTTCATACTTCTCCAGACTCTTAACCAACTTTCCCCACCGTCCATCATGCCACACTGACAAATCCTTCCACTCTGGACTATCCTCGCCAAAAACGACGCGAAAAGACAACATCCATCCACACACGGTGAGGTCAGCAAACGTAGGCACGTTCCCAGTAACGAACACATCCCCCTTCCCTATCCAGTTGTTAATTCTGCTAAGATCAAGCTTAAACAGCGCCCATTGTTCCTCTCTACGCGCTCCACGTGGATCCATCTCCTCGAGCGTTTTCCCGAAAGCTTCCTCCCTGGTCTTCCTGAAGAACGCCTCGCTTGGTGGATTCAGTACTGCGTTGGCTGCAGGGACCAGTAATGGTGTTATCGCCTTCAGCAGTTGAGTCTCGAAGGCAACTCTGAACGCAGCGTGAAGGGCTCGCGTGCCGGGAGGGAAAAGGCGGGGAGTATCAGGGTAGGTGGTGTCGAGATACTCAGCAATGGCGGCTGAATCGGATATGACGGTACCAGTCGACAAATCGTGGATGAGTGGGAGGGAATAATATGGTGTCACGCCATCTTTCTGGGTAGCACCGGCTAGTACACCCAATCTTTGGTACAATGCCTCGATATCAGGGAATTCAATCCACTCCGTGCGGTATGGTATACCCTTAAAGTTCAGCGCGTACCTAGTCAAAAATGAGAGAGGATGTTGAAAAAAATACGGAGCTAGCTGACCTGGCTTTCCATGTATTGGGGGAACAGGCCTTGATGGGTAATTTTGAGGGGATATCGTAAAAAATGATAGTCTTCGACATGATTGTTGATCGATAAGAGGCGGCTTCGTCGGTCCGGGTCTGTTCAGTTTCATCGTGCGACCAACGTACGTGGCGTTCATAAAGTAAAAAGGGTTTATTTCTGTTTGGAAATCGCCAATCACATTAGTCGAAGGCTTGAACACGTGAACGAAGCGCCATAATCCAAAACCGGACTTTCCGGTTGACGCGACGAAAAGACTAAAGGAACAATGATGAGTAGGAATCTGTATGGGGAGTGAACGTATAGCTCATCGCAGCCCTGTTTAGTTGCATCAAAAGTCAAGACCCACATCGCCCGGATAGTTCTAGAGAAACATGGCCGCAGCCGATCTGAGTCCAAAGTATTTGTCGATATAAGCGCTGTTCATAGGTGACGGAAAGTAGCCAGGTTTGAAGCATGACGTGAAAGGTCAATCTAGGTTTGAGCATCGAAGTCGTCCTGGGCCCCGTCTACTTCTAATATAGTCTCTCTCCGTTGCACCTGGATACTGGGACCATTGCCATCGGAATGTCTCCAACCTAGACCACCGGTAGTAAGCTAGATGGAACGAGATACAAGCTACAGTGCTGACAGCGGTTGTCTCCATGATTCTGTCATGAAAATGCGAAGAAATCCAGATTCCATCGCTGAAGAATATGGAGGTAATTCCAAGTTGTCCGGCCACGGTGTCGCATCAAATAGCGTCAGAGACAGTAGAGGTCCTAAAGTATAGCACACAGAGAAATAAAAGCGGTATTAAATTGAACGTAAAATCTTGAAGCGATACCGTCGATGCTGAGGAAAAGTGTGCTTGCGGAGCAAAGGAAAGGACTGAATATTGACGGCGCAAGCACGGGCACAACTAAAACGTTGCTGCCTGCGGCAGTCAGTAATGCGGCCCGGCGGCCCGGCAAAGGCTGGTATTCCAATTTCCAACTTGTGACCTTCCCTCCAGCTCACTCCCAGGAAATCGAGAAGTCCCTTCGAATCGCCTCACGGCTTCCTCGGAGCCTTTCAGCCGCCCGGTAAGGATCTATATGACGGTCCCTCCTTCTGTTTACCCTGGGAAAGCCCAGGTGATCAGCATTAAACTGTAATCCGTCTTGAATCCGTCAAATTCGTGATGAAATAGGAAGGACGCTGTTTTTGAGAGGCTCCGATTCTTATCGGGTGTCGCCGTTTCCAAAGCTGCAGCCATCTATCACTGACGATAACTCTTCTTACGACCGATGACAAGGCTGAACTTTGCTCTAAATCTGAAGGCTGAAGCACTGACTCGGACCTTGACCTAGGCATGGTACAACCCCGTTGTGGGATTTCAGCAAAAATAATCCTGGGGTCGCCATGACAGCTCAGGGTGAATAGTGCAGGCATTTGACTGCCTTCCCCGCCACAGAAGCCTCCACCCACAGGTCTGCCTCTGTCTTCTGACGGACTTATGCAAGCCACTCGTTTTCACATTGTGTCTCGCGTCCCTGCAGGCAAGTCCAGGGGCGTCAGGTACTATGTCGTTTCTGACAACGACGCACACGGGGTGCGTCTGCCAATGTCAGAACTGAGGGGGTCAACACTAATCTATTTCTTCACAGGGCACAAAAGTCTGAAGGAGATCAAGAAGTGTGCATGCAATACAAGTTTCGTTTATCCGGACCTCAATTACTATGCAACCGAATGTGCCTTTGTGGCTTCGGAGCATTATTGTTCCGTACGTCATCTTTAGGCAATCGCGTACCAGCGCTATTCGAGTCTAGACTGGCTGTGAAAGTCGACCAATCACTGTGAATCTAAGTCTGAACCTTGGACGCCACCAATAGGATTTTCAAGCCCTGCAAGGGGTAAGTTGCGATCTTTTCCTTCTGACTGTGACTGTATATTAAAAACCTCTATTGTCCCCGAGGGTGGATTTCTTTTACGTTTCAAATTCCGCAACCCCCAAATGATCTTCTCGTTTCGTCCGGGTCATCGGGCCTTCCACTCACAGTTTTAAACGACCTCAAAACGACTCCCATTCTTCATTCTGTTCCCATTCTTCCCCGGCAGGAAGTTCATCGCTTGTATTTCTCTCCACCCTCTAATAACTCTCTTCCTTCGTTCAAATGTGCCTTCACATAACCACCCAATACACCTACACTTGTGGCAAAGTCACCACCACCGAAAATCGCGTCCAATGCCCACAGCGCCAGAAATACCTCTCTGATAAGCGCGCGTGGCTTGATGGCGCCGCCGCTCCCCAGTGCCTATGCGATGGGATGCCGAGAAAAGAGAAGAGGCGCATCGAGGTGGGGAAGCCTTGCAAGCCGGGCTGTCAGTACATCGCGTTCCCAGAAAGCCAGTGAGTCACTTGTGCGCGTCTGAAGGGCGATGATGATCTGACTGGGACAGTGACTAGTCGGCCATATGTTTCTCGTTCTGAAGCGAGGTTTCAGATGTGGACTTCGTCGTGATCGCCTCTCCGCCGACGCCTTGAAAAAAATCAAAATCCAGCTGGCCATGGAACATTCGCTTTGTTGTGTACAATCATTTTGCTCATCGGTTGATCTCTATTTTGTCCTTACAGCCACTAATCATGTTGTACAACACCTCAGTTTTATCCTGAACGATACTACAAAAGTACGATAAAACTTTCTTTTACATCGTGTACTAATCGAAGCATCCTCTCATTCTCTTTTACTTACAAAAATACATGTACTGCTGATGGATAAGTCCCTTGATTCTTGGAATGTGCTGCCCTGCCACGAATGTACTGAACTTTGAGCAATTCCGAGCGGGCCTTCGCCCGTCACTGATCAGTTAGATCAGACTATAAGCTCTAGCTCCGGAAGTGACACCGGGATCACAGACCACAGATTGAGTGGAATAGAATTCATTTCTCAAAGATCGTGGCGGTTGCGAAATTGTTCGGAAAAAAATAAATACAGCGGGGTTCTGCATGGGTTTGAATCCTTGCTGACTGAATGCCATCATCTGGCATGTTTGGGCTGCGGACTCAGCTACTTTCTGTCCCACGGCCAGGCAATTCAGCGGATTGAAAATACTATCAGAACATAAAATAATGATGCTAAGTATCAACAGCTCCACAAAACATACGCACACCGCAGTCCAGTTGCAGTCCAATGCCGACACCGGTGACTACAAGCCGAGATACCGAGCTCTACCCGTCGGCAAAAGAATCTCAATCAGGCCAGTTTCGATTGACGCAAATTTCGATCATCGCCTCCATCCCCCTTTCTAAAATTTGTTTTTCCTTCATTTTAGGGTCCTTTGCCATGAATATAATATAATTACCATCCTCACCACGGCGAAATGGCCGAGCGGTTAAGGCGCCAGACTAAGGAGGAGCGCGGATCTATATGTTCCATGTGCACGACCAACTTGTTTCCGAGTGCATTATCTGGTCTTTCGAGGCATGGGTTCGAATCCCATTTTCGTCACTCTTTTTCACTCACATTGTGGTGTAAACTATATAGTATATAGTATAGGCCCTACATGTCTTATGATCGCTAATTATTTAATAGGGTTCCCCTACCCCCAATTGCCTTCGACATTGACCAAGGATCATTCACATGCCCGCAAAATAATGTACCTAGAATGACTTTATGTCCGTCACTGGTTGTGCATACCCAACAAACTTCCCTTTCACGTCTCGAATCGAGATATTTCAAGAGACGAGACAGGAATAGGAGCAATTTCTCTGGACGCACCAGTACACATGTCACTCTGATGAATTCAAGATGAGAACGTTACAGGTAATCGCTGTCTACCCAATCAGCATAGTCACTACCCAGAACATCCGATATTGTGTAGCCGCTGGTCGAAGTGAGCGTTGTAGCAAACGATGCACGAGTGCCCGAGGCTCCGTCCCCTGAAGAAAGGGAAAGAATATTAATACAGTATCATCACAGTATCGCTTCGTCAACTTACCGGAACTACCGTACTCTGCAAATGTGACACCATCGGTATTGGGTTCGCTGCTTGACCACTCCTCCCAACCGGCACTGTTGATCAAGTCCCCGAGCGAGCAAGAGGTGTAGACGACCCTAAATGACTTTGGTCAGCCCAGCACATAAGGTCGAAGCACCACTGGGAAAATACCGAGCATATGCTGCCCATGGACGTCCGAGGTACACCTGTCCCTCAAGAGACGTCGTCGCCGAACTGCTAGTAGTGATAGTCGATTCATTGATGACATCTAAGATATACGTAAACTCTGAAAGACGTAACAATAATAGGGTACTCACACAAGCTTACCCCGTCCGACGATGCGCGCCCATTAGCCGTAATTGCACCCGCACCGACGGAAGCAAGTGTGGACTGGTGGAAGTAGGCCCTTGCATATTGGCCGAAAATGTAGTCGACCGCTCCTTCAATGTAACAGGATCCATAAAATTGGTTACCCGTTTCCGCGAGCACCGTATCTTGATAGCTGTTCGACATGGTCAGATACTAGTCTCAGAAAGAACCACGAAAATGATTCGCCTATAGAAGCCAACACCATAGTAGCCATGGTTCGTTCCGTAAGCACTCAGTGCCAATGCCTGGCCATCAGTGCTAGCCTCACCAAACTAGAGAATATTCGATTAGAACATAATCACATACATAATCAACTGTACGCGTACCGTGTTTTTCACATTGACATTGTATAGGGCAAAGTCATCCTTATGTACGCGCAAGGTTCCAGTCGAGTCATCATCATCTGCACTAGCCAGAGAGAGTGAATAGGTGATGGTAACCGTGTTGCTTGCGTAGCTACTGGTGTCAGATGTCTGCCCCATGATCTGGGCCTCGGATATCAGCACGGATCAATTTGAAAAAGATGAGTATGCACGGTCGTCTGGCCATCGCGGTCGATGTAGACTTGCTCAGTGTATGTTCCTACATAGACTCTATCAGCGTCGCAATACAGGCCTGATTAAGAAACTCTAGCTGCCTTCATAAATGAAGATAACCTGGTCGGACCCATCATCAGCCAGTGAGTCCACGGCAGCCTGCACCGTGCTGTATTCTCCGGACGCCGCACCACTAGCTCTCACAACAATAGCGCCCGAGGGCGCCGAGGTACGACTTTCGCGTTTGAGCACGGGATTTGCATCTACCAGGTTGGCAAAAAGAGGGAGAAGAGAAAAGAACGTTAGAGATATGAGGGAAGAGAAAAACATTGCTGTGATACAACACAGCTCCCGCCGTCCTATAAATAGTGGCAACGGCGAAACTGTTTGCATGATTTCTGTTGCTTGAACAACCGGGCGCAGCAGCGGGGTCACGACATTGGCGCATTTGCAGCTTAAGAATATTCCATCCGATGTTCAGGCGGACAGAGGCAACGTTTGGAACATTTCGCGTTGTCAGTTACATGCTGGGCCAATGAGAAATTAGGATATGAAAGCTATTTCATTCGCTTTCGAAAATCGTCACGGAGAACAGAATAGTCAAATGAGCGTCGAACATTCCGGTGTTCTTGGAAGCATAGTCTCCTCTTGAATTGAGTTCATCAAGTTTGCACCCGGAACGTCGCCTTCCTGGCTATCAATTATAGATGCCATAAAACCAAAGCATCGAAGGGATATAAATCCATTTGGAAGTAGTCCTAGGACTCTGAAGGGAAGTTTGTGGCAGACGACTTCCTCGTAACGGTTACGCTCGAACACAATCTTTTAGGAGCCTTTGGATACAAGTCACATCGATTTGTTCCACTTCAGAAAGACATTCGTATCTTCGTCCATTAACAATATACACTCGGAGAAATCCGGCAAAGTTCGAACTTATCCATAGACCGAGGGAAGAGAGCACCCCGCAGCACTTCGTTCCAGTCCAAACCGGAATCATCTCGACTGGGGCCAATGATCCGTAGATTCGTCACCGCTCCTTGTGCGACTCGAGCGGCTAAAATCTCATCCAGGTCGTCAAAGGACGAGAATAGATCCGACAATTCTTCGTGTATGTCCTGGCCGACAGCATGCCTCCTCTTGACCAATTCAAATAAATCAATATCCGCTTCGCGGTTTTGTTGCAGTTCATCCCGCCAGCACCAACGCATTGAGGCAGACGCGAACCCAATCTCGATGGATGACGCCACAGTCTCATTCGCCAAGATTCTACCACCCCAACGCAGTAATTCAGTGCCATCTTGGGCCCTCTTTCTAATGTACAGCCCTAGCGTGCGAAGACGAGGTAACGGTATCACTGGGGTCGAAGTCAGTGGCACAGTACCGGCAGGTAATGAATATTCAGACTCACTGTCATCCCTCAGCGGAAAACTCAATCGAAGCACTTCGAGATGCTCACGGGCTGTCATAAGAATCTGTTTTAAGATCGAACAAAGGCTAGTGGTGCCTGCGGAGGGTGGCTCAAGGATGGTAAGGCTCGGGATCGAAAGACAGCGGAGACCTCCAAGATCGAAAGGGGAGTCAGAAGCAGCGACGAAAACCAGTACATCCTCCATATGCTGGGAGTCTACGTCTTCGAAACTGATAGTCTCGATACTTCGTGCCTCGACGAGGGCATAAGGCTTTCCGCGCGATAGAGAGAGCCAATGTTGCCACACTTCGCTGTCTCTCAGACGATTGCTATTGCCGTGAGAGAGCCCACACCCGCGGAAGTGTACATGCTCAAGATGCTTACAGTGAGCGAGCAGTGTGATCAGCACAGGAGTAGGAAACACTACTGCGGCCCCGTGGAAAAGCTGGAAGGTGAGTTCCTTGATCTTCCCAAGGCGTGGATCTCCGAATGCCTTTGACAGGCTAGCCATCGACGGATATTTATCGAAAAACAGCTGCTCAAGGCTTAGTCGTCCGACGTCCTTGAATCCAGGGAGATGGCCTATGCTGTCAACGAATTCGCCGATATCGCGAAAACGAAATCCTAGAACGTGTACACGATCTCCCGGGAGGGCATTATATTTTCCGCCTCCGAAATCGATAAGAAATTCCGTGAAATAGGGTGGCAAGTGCGTCGTCGGTGACCACCCTTTCCATTCCCAGATTATGGTGGAGCTCTTTGGCAGGGAGACGTTTGATACAAGATAAACCTCGGTATGAGAAGTAGATGCTGAAGTATGGAGCCCTGGTTGGCAGAGTTTTGGAGGTCGGGACATAGTAGAAAAGAAAGAATTGAAGAGAAGATGATAGAGGATGATTCAGCCTCTTGTCAATCTTTATTTGCGTTGTTGTCTCTTGTCTTTGTCTGGAATTGCGCAGAAACTTGTAAACATTGTTAAGAGAGTGGCAGACACAATTTGGTGGTGACAACTATTCCAAAAAAGGATGGACCCCGGAACCAGGCGCCTCTGGGGAGAAGAAAACCAGGACGATCAGCACAACGAAATATAAACCAACCTTGTGTGAGGGAAATCGAAACGCCCCGGACAAAGGCAACGTCAGAGCAATGGACGTCAGTAAGAGATTATGAGCATGGCATCGAAGGACATACAGAGGTTCTGAACAAGTACTAGGTGCGTATAAAATGAAGCAACGGTAATTGGTAAATTTATAATTGCAGCGCAGATTCCGTTGTTCCAAGGGATCCATGCCGCATTCCCCAGGACGATACCTATACGATGCGCATCGCTCCTCTCTACGCTCGGTAAGCAGATCTGTCTCTTCTATCACTATTCATGAGGACTTCCTCCTCCTGGCCGTTGTTAGAAAGTCAGGTATCCTGTATGATGATGAGGGCAGTATGGATGGGCACTGGCGGTATCAAAGTCTTGACATGGACTCCTCAAGCAGGTGCGAATATGAAGTACGGGACTCGTCAGTCACTCATGTGCCAAGGGGAAGGCGAGGAGTATCACGCTAGGTGGGTAGGTCTCGTCGAGATACCTGGCAATGGCAGTTGTCTCGGGTAAAGGGCACGAACGGACGCACAGAAGAGTTGGTCGCAGTAGTATGGTATGATGCCATCCTGTTGAGCAGTAATGACCAATACATAGTACGTCAGACCTTGTGCAACACCTCGATATCAGGGAATTTGACGTATTCGGTCCATTTGGGTAACCTTTGGCTTAAGGTCATATCTGAGCAATGGTAAGAGGTAATGCAAAGTGGATCTACGAAACCAGCTGGCTTCGTCTTGCCGTCAATTCGGAGAATCTGCATTGATGGATAATTTTGAAGGAATATGACCCTTGAGATGAACATAAAGACCGGCTTTATCTGTCCGTGGTTTCGCTGGCGCACTGATACATGCCGATCGCTAGTACACTAGGAGTGAACGAGACTGTTCATCAGTCTCCGCTCCGTGAAGGGGATTCGTTGGACACAATGTTGAGAATACCTGTGAGCTCCAGCACAACGATGGATAACTTGACACTTGCGTCTTCCAAAGAAATTCAAGTTGTTGTCATATGCTCCGCTAGTCGGATACATGTTAAAGAGGTGAGTTCTACGTCTATGGTTTGGGTCTAGGTCGAATGATGAGGTACTGACCTGGCGCC